AAAAAGAGAAAGAAAGAGGAAGAAGAGAGAAGAGGAGGAAAATAGAGGAAAAGCTTGGAAAGTTTCAAAGCAACTTCTAGGAATCGATTTAATCGGGTAAGGGTGTGAAATCTTATTATCTTACCAATGTGTATCATTATGTATGCTTTTGTTGGATTGTTTGGATGTTTTCCTCATTTTTCCATTTTAGGTCGAATTTGGTTTAATCGATAGAAACTGATGTTTTGACGGTTAGAATTTGGAATAGATGGTATAGTTTAGTCGAGGAATGTTGGGCTAAGACTATTGGAACTTGTTTGGTTAAATCGGAGATTTTGTGGCTTGTTGAAATTTTTGGACAGTGAGGGTTTTGGTAATCGCAGAGTCCGTTAAGCGAGTGACTAGTGAGTGAGGTAGCGAGGGGTTCGCTAGGCGAGCACCTAGCGAGCTGCCAGCGAATGGTCCTAGACTTGGACAGAACTAAATAGACCCTTATTTGCTCTGGCGAGGGAAGTAGCGAGTGTTCGCTATGACTTCGCTAGGCGAGCAGTGTAGCGAACACCTCTAGTAGCTTGATGACAGGCTTCGCTAGCATGTTCGCTAGGCGAGCCTGTAGCGAATGTTCGCGATGATCTCGCTAGGCGAGCAGTGTAGCGAGTGTGACAGAACAACATTTTAGTTTTGTTTCAATCCAATATCGATTCTTCGATTCTTGAACGTGTAGCCTGTGTGCTGTTATATGATATGCTGTGGGTAGCTGTATGGCGTGAATCCTAGATTGAGGAATGTATTGTGAATTGTGGCCGTTTGGCAAATATATGCATTGTTTAAATTAAATGGAAATGCATGATATTGTAATAGAATTCATTACCGTTTGGTGTAATTGAATGTGAATGTGTATGGATTGTATGTGATAGTATGGGATGAATGCATGAATATATATTGTGAATATGTATGCATTTCAAGAATGTTTGGAGTCATTTTGCATGTGAAGCATCATGATGTGCATTCTTGTGCTGTGTGATTCCTAGGAGAATCTGTTGAACGACCGTGTGCCCGTATGGGGTGTGAGCAATCAGATTGTGTGCCCGTGTGGGGTGTGAGCAATCCATAAACATTGTGTGCCCATGTGGGGTGTGAGCAATGGGTAGATATCATCGTGTGCCCATGTGGGGTGTGAGCGATGGCTACAAATGATTGTGTGCCCATGTGGGGTGTGAGCAATCGGATTGTGTGCCCGTGTGGGGTGTGAGCAATCCATAAACACTGTGTGCTCGTGTGGGGTGTGAGCAATGGGTGAACATCGTAGGCCCGACGGGGAGTTACTTCGGTAACGAGCGATGGTTCCAATAAGTTCCTGAGTGAACTTGAGATGATTGAGTCGGTATCGCATTTGCATTTGCATAGAGTCGTGTGTTGGTCTCTATGATTTGCATTTATCATTGTGATTGTGAATTGGTGAATAAACATAAATGTAAATGTTTATATGAAATGATGAATTGTGGAAGCATGAATGATGAATATGCTTGGATATATATATATATATATATATATATATATATATATATATATATATATATATATATATATATATATATATATATATATATATATATATATATATATATATATATATATATATATATATATATATATATATATATATATATATATATATATATATATATATATATATATATATATACATTGTGATGTATAGGAGTGTGTATGATGTGAATTGTAGAGGTATGCATGATGAATATGCTTGATTATATTTATATATACATTGTGATGTATATGATGGAGTTGTGATGAATTGTGGTGAGAATGCATAATATGTGTATTTAATGCTAAGATATATAATTATATGCATTGTTATTATGATAATATTTCTCACCCTTCTGCTGTATTATGGTGCTCTATGAGGCATTGCAGAGTAAGATTGCTGGAGGTCTTTTTGTGAAGCGTGTCGTCATTCTTTTGGTCGGTCGGCTCTGATATGTAGCATTGGGTAGCTAGGAGATATATGATTATTTTGTGATACATTTGTATATGTATCTTGTTGATGAATGTTTATGTAAACATGACTTGATTGTTGAATCATGCCGGATGATAAATATGTCAGCATAACTCTAGACCTTTGGTAATCCAAAGAAACCATGACGCTGACCAGGTGTTTAGACATGTCTAATAAACAACTTTAGGGTCATAACAATATAGAAAATATGGTTAAACAGATTTTGGCCCAAAATGGCCTTAATGTGGGACTCCACATACCTAACTTCATATCTCATTTGTCAGAATACGTTCGACAAGTAAAGTTGCTCAGGGGTTAGAAAGTCCCAAAATTTACTAAGTTCGTTGGAGACAATACTAAGTCAACAGTCGAACATGTTACCAGGTATCATACCGAGGCTAGCGACATTGCAAATAATGAGAATTTGAAAATGAAGTATTTCCCAAATTCTCTAACAAAAAACGTCTTTACCTAGTTTACAACACTCCCTTTACACTCCGTTCAAACATGGAATCAGTTGGAGATATTGTTCCATGAACAATTCTATATAGGACAGTTAAAAATAAGTTTGAAGGAGTTAGCTAGTGTTAGGCAAAAAGTTCATGAGCCGATTGATGATTACCTAAATAGGTTTAGACTTTTTAAGGCAAGATGCTTTAATCAAGTGCTTGAACATGAGTTAGTTGAAATGGCTGTAGGGGCCTTAATTATTCCATTAGAAAGAAGTTAAATACTCAATACCTTATGGACATGGCATAATTGGCAGATAGGGTTCACCATATCGAATGCTTGAAAGTTGAAAAAGCCTGAACGAATAAGTATCATAAAAAAGAAAACGTTGCTTATGTATAGAAAGACAATTACCTCTCAGACCTAGGCGACAAATGTGTTGAAGAAAGTAAGGTCAATATGGCTGAACTTAAGCCATCACCTCCTTATGTATGCAAGTTGTTGAAGCCATCGAATGGGAAAAATCCTGTCGAGCCTAGCAAGAATGACAAGTTCACCACTAGGACTTATACTTTCAACATAACAAAGTGTGTCAAAATATTTGATTTGTTAGTCACAGATGGACATATTATAGTGCTTTTGGGCCTAAAATCTCCCACATTAGAACAAAGAAAAAAAAAGATGTTTCGGTAAGTACCATAATTTCATAAGCATAAAACTTCTCAATGTATGCTTTTTAGGGATTTGGTGCAAAAAGCTTTAAAAGAATAGGGCGAGGCGGGACATGCATAATTGAGTGTGTGGGTTTAAAATATTGGTGTGTCCCACAAAAAAAAAGCATGAGATGGGGGAATACTGAACCTTTTAAGCCTAAAAACGAAAAAAGATATGTTAATGCCCGCTTCCGAAAAAACCTAAAAAAATCGGGGTGGACGGACACATTAGAAGGTGTGAGTCTAAAACCTCGACACATCCTAAAAAAAGTACAGAAAAAACAGGCAGGTCGGGACCTTCTTGCCACCCTTAATTCATACTAACCACTTCATCCGGCAAATGGCTCCCTTTGAGAAAGGTTAATTGCTTTGGGGAAATCAGCTTCCCCATGAATCATGACTTCCTAGCCGCCATTACCTTTGCCACAAACTCATACAAGGAGCCAAGAAGAGAAATAGGTTTAAAATTTTTCAACTCCAATGGAGATTCGACCTTCGGGATAAGAGTGACGAAAAAAGACGTCAAACTCTTATGCAACACAACGTTCTGAAAGAAATAGTCCAACATCATATACAACCCTTCCTTGACTAACCCCCGAAATTTCTTATAGAAAGAAAAATTAAAACCATCAGGGTCCGGGCTCTTAGAACCATTCATCTCAACAACCACCACATCCACTTATGAGTGCAAAAACATAGAAAAAAGAGACTCTGCCTTGACTAAAGAGAGACATGAGAGAGATACCCCTTTCTAGGGTTGGCCTAGAAGCCTTAGAGTAAGAAAAATTCTTTTTAAAGTGATGTAGTTTCAGGTGATTATACTCTTCTGATAAAATATTTTAGTTCTCTTTAAATTATTAATTGTCGGTGAATACAATGTGAAAATTATTCGAGTGACTTTACTTTTAATGAAATATACTCTTTATAGTGGAGTATGATAACTCTTTTGAATTATAATTGTTGATGAAGATAATATGAAAAATATGGACATGGTTTATCTTTTAAACTCTTTATGAAAGAATATGATATTTCTTTGAATTTAGATTGTCAATGATGCAACCAAAGAAATGCATGATTTTCAATTAATGTGGTGATTGTTGAAAAATTCACAAATTACTTAATATTGTTCACATTTGTAACCATTACCACCAACATTGATCTGGTTTTTCACTCCTCTACAAAAACCCATCAATTTATTTTTAAATTGTAGTTTGAAATTTTAGGCTACCACCTTCATGTGTTGTGTTCGACAAACTTGAACTTCCTAAGGAAAATCAAACATTAGATTTGTCTTCCTCATCACAAATTCCTTCTACTATATTAATTTTTCTTGTTTGATAGACACTTTCATTGGAGAGTCACATACACTCATGCACATGAGAGTTTCCGATCACCAATTTTCAATTCAAATCAATGTAAGATTGAGGGTTAATCACTTCAAAACCAAAATAGAAGAGATAAAAATTATAAGTCTAATTTTTATAAATAAATAAAACAACAGCATATCAACATAACATCTTGAATTTTGAAGCAATACAAACTAGTAAAAGTTTATGATTATTCAACTATCTTATAATTTGGGCCAACCATGTATTCAATTAATATCTATACATTAACTAAGTAAAATAATTATAAATATATTTAATCAAATTATCTCAAATAGATATCCATTGAGATAATTTTAAATCTAATCTAAACAACAATATTTTTAAAATTAAAAAAATAATAAAATACGTAAGAAGTTTCTGTTATGGGCAATAGAAACAACCCTATTTTCCTGCTTTTTGCTACGATTCCAAATTCTCAAGATAGTTTGTAGCAAAATACTTTCCGCAATCAGAATGGAACCAACCAATGAAAATACTCAAGAACAAGAACAACCTTCTTCTTCTTCTCTTCGCAAGAGATTACTTGAACAGGAAGATGATACAGAAGCTTATCGTACTTCTAAATGCATCAAAACGTACGATTACTTAGCCACTTTCGACGAACCAAAACGCGAAGTCATGGTTCTCTCTGACAGTGATGATGAAGAAGTTCAAGATGACAATGAAAATGAAAGGGAAAGTGATGATAGAAGCAATGCCGCGCGGACTCTCATATTATTTCCTACAAAACAGCAAGAGGAGCATCACAAGAATATCGATGATGATAGAAGCAATGCCGCGCAGACTCTCACATCATCTCCTAGAAACCAGCAAGAGGAGCATCACAAGTATATCGATGATGATAGAAGCAATGCCGCGCAGACTCTCACATCATCTCCTAGAAACGAGCAAGAGGAGCATCACAGGTATATCGCAAGGAGATATGCAGCACGCATTCACAATGCTTTGGAGGATAAAAACAACCATGTTGTGAGGGATGCGGCTGATAAAATGGATGACGATGATGATTCTCCAACTCCATTCTCCGAAGCAATCAAAGCTATTCAAGAACGCTCCGAGAGAAACCAGAAAAGAGGGATTGTTGAAGAACCTCCTGTATGGATTCCAAAAAGAAATGAAAAAGATTCGGTTAGAAGAAGGTTGTGTGTTCCGTCATTGCAAGAACTGTCACTTAACAATCTTGCTCAGCATTCTGATGCAATTTCTTCGCTCGACTGTGTCAACGACGAGTTCAGACAAAGGCTAAGTAATCTGCTGTGTGATTCAAGAAAAATGAACTGTCACTTTCTTGAACTACTTCTTAAGGGCGTTCCCACTCAAATTCGGCTTACAGACTGTTCCTGGTTGACAGAAGAACAATTTACTAATTATTTTCAAACACACGTCACTTCTGAATTAGAGGTATGTTCATTAACTTTGCTATGATTCAGCATGTTTTTTTCCTATTCGAATTCGTGTTTATACGTTTATTTATCGAATAGGTGCTGCAACTTGACAAGTGTGGAAGAATTCTGACTGAATATACATTACCTGCTATATTGGCAAACTCACCAAACTCCTTGTCTAAATTAACCATTCTATCGCTCACTGGTGCATGTCGTCTTACGGATGAAGGATTTCGGTTACTAGTTTCGTCTGCAACAGAACTTAGATCCATAAACCTAAGCCAATGTTCCCTTCTCACCTTTGCTAGTCTTGAAATTTTGGCTGCTTCATTAGGATCAATTTTGAAAGAGTTGCATATTGATGATTGCATACTCATTGATGTTGCGCAAATTTTACCTGCCTTGAAGCAATTCACTCAATTAAAAGTGCTGTCACTAGCTGGTGTTCCAACTGTTTCTGATAAATTTATCATGAGTTATTTCGCCGCGTGCAGTCATGACATTAAGGATCTTGTTTTAAAGGACTGCGCGTAAGTACATTTTATCAGTCAGATTCGTTATTCTTTCGCATATTGCTATAAGTTCGGATTAAATTTCTTGTTGTGCAGAAATTTGACGGATGCGTCAATTAGAGTCATTGCTAAACATTGTCCTGGTTTGCGCGTGCTTGATATTATGAACTTGGGAAAATTGACAGACTTATCTATTGGTTATCTTGCGAATAGTTGTTGCAGATTGCGTACATTGAAACTCTGTCGCAATCCATTCAGGTGGTACTTTTGTACTTTTTGATGTATTGCTTTTGCTATGCTAAACTCCTATTGCTTAATAATTTTAACTTTTTTCCGTTATAGCGACGAAGCAATTTCTGTATTTTTGGAGTTAGCTGGCAAATCCTTGGAAGAACTTTCACTTAATAGCATTAAAAAGGTAATGTATTACACATTTTATTACCTAATATCTCTTTGTGCTAAGTTAAATTTCCATCTGACTAAATATTTGAGTGTCTGTGACATTTTGGTTTAATCCAGGTTGGCCTATTGACAGCCATATCACTTGCAAAGAATGGCCAAAATTTGCATACCTTGGATCTATCATGGTGTCGAAATCTGTCTGACAATGAGCTCGGTTTAATTGTCGATAGCTGCTTGTCACTGAGATCACTTAAGCTTTTCGGATGCTCGCAGGTATATAACTCTCTAAGGTGTTTATAGTGATCAACTTGACGTAGTCTTTAGACGAAGAAATGTTAGGGGAAGATTTTGAATGTTTTGTACTTTTCTTTTGCAGTTAACAGATATGTTTTTCAAAGGACACTCAAACTCAGGGACTCGGATCATTGGGTTGAAGTTGAGTCCTTTATTTCAGCAATTCGAATCGGTCTCGCTGTAAACTTTGATATAAATTAGAACTAGAAACAGAAGTAAAATATATAGATGGTGATATTTGGCATAACTTGTTGGTATATCTAGTAGGTTGTTTTATGAAGAGATGTGAAAATTTCTCTTTTGTCAGTTTACGACTTTTGTTTCAGTGATATGTTTATAGACCGTAGTCGAGTTGTAACGGATGAAGATGATCTTTTTCCTTTCTGGAAACATTCAGACAAATACTTTAGCAGATTTTGTAATGCACACAAGATTTTTTTTCTTGAATTGAGATGCATGATACTGTTGCTTGTTCTTCAAGAAAGAAAACAAAGTTGCACTCATATATATCTCATTAGCAATTTGCTATCATTTTGAATATCATCCTTTTAAAACCAAGTAATTTAAAACCATGGTAAGCACTTTGAAACATCATCCAACAGACCTCAAAAAGTATAACTAAGATCAGCTGAATGGACTGCGACCGCGGCCGAGCTTCAAAGTATTTAATTGTTGAAATCTATTCTTAAAATGTCCTAGAGAGAATCTGTCAATTTGCACAAATTTGTAATATCAAAGCACATTCAACATACGAGAAAAATCAGCAATGAATCTCATCGACAGGTCCGTCAAATTTCTGCACAGGAAGAAATTTAAACCAGTAAGCCTAACAAAGAAGTAACTTTTCGCAATATATGAAAGAATAATGAATCACACTACAATTACACGCAGTCCTTTAAAACAAGACCCTTAATGTTGTGACCGCATGCCGTGATGTAATCCTTGATAAATGCATGAGAAAGATCTTGAAGACCAACTAGTGACAACACTTGTAATTGTTTGAATCGCTTCAAGGCTTTCAAAATCCCTTTGTGTTATGTTCTTGTTTTTGGAACTGAAACTAATGGCTTGATCAAAAACTATAATGTCAATATATATTCAATGGCATCGTTGATTGAAAACTATAATGTCAATATATATTCAATGGCATCGTTGATCGAAAACTATAACGGCTTTTGGGTTTCCTTATTTGTTTCCTTATAATGTCAGTATTTAACTTTGAGATAAGTTCAATAAGAGTGAAGCTTTGTTCTAAAATAATTTTTAAAATAATGTTCCTTTTTGCACTTTTTACCTCTTCACCCATTTCATTTTATTTTTTTATTAAATTAGTTTTATATTTTAGTTAATAATAATTAGATATTTTTGTTCACTTGCAAACTTAAGAGATTTACACAAATTAGTGAAAAAAGATATAGTGAACAATTGAATATCTTGATTAGATTATGCATGTAAGATAATTCATAATTGTGATATTTGGATCGAACTCTAGACTCAATATGGGTAATTTTATGGTTCGACAGAAGTTATGCATGTTGTAGTCGAAATATGTTAGCTTAGTGTTTAAGTTAGCATGTTGAATTGGACCTTGCTTGTAATCCCAATTGTTAAGTTAGATTGCAGCTTAAGTTAGCTTAATAGTCTTGATCTTACCAAATGATCAGAATCTGAGATGGGGCAAAGACAAACGTCTGTGGTGTGAAAGAGGAGGAGGGGATGTATCTACAAGGCACTCCGATGCTAAAGTAAGAAAACGAGCAAGTACACAGTACGTGTGTTTCACGGTGAAAAATTGGATACCTGGCCCTCTCAAATGAGAGGGTTTTTATAATGCCCCCAGCGCTTGGCCATTGGTCCCTATTTTCGGGGCGAGATAATCGTTTCCCGAAGAATAGGTAACTGCCAGAACTAGCCGTTGGGATGGGCAAAGGTGCCCATAACTAGCCGTTGGCGCGGGTAGAGGTGTAGTTACAGGCACAAGCGTCTTGGCTGTTTCTGGATGGTAGAACCGTGCGTGACGGACAAAGACTAACTGGGAGAAGTGTTGTGACCAAGGGTAAATGGGTCAGCCTCCCCTGTTGGAGGGGCAGAAAAGTAAAATTTCCACCAAAGAGGTTGGACTTAGGCAATTGGGCCGTTCTGGGAGCAGAAGTGGGTTGGGCCATGCCTAGCCATTGGGTCAGTCTGGAACAGTAGCCCCCAAGTCGTTGCTATCGGGCACGATAGTGATGACTTAAGGATGGTCTGCTTCCCAGGCATAGTCGTCGTGAGCTCTCTTGTGTTCGGATGAGTACTTGTCCGGGCACCAAGAATGTTGGTGTCGGGGAGCTTGGGATTCGAGGAGTTCAACAGTTGATGGGATCTGAAGAGTGAGGATGCCACGTGTGCCTCGAGCCGTGTGCTACATTAAATGTGTGATGATGGCTAGGCTAGGGTCATGATGATGCCCTACCCTGCGCGTACTCGTGCACGTGCCTGTCATTTGCCTATAAAAAGTGAGAGGGTTCGTTCATTCAGAACTTTCGCTTCTCTTTCTTCTTGCCCGTTTTCTCAGTCTGCCGCTCGTTACCTTCAACTTTGCTCCGACCATCGTACAAGGTCCGACCAGAGTTGTTTTAGGTCTAGAACTTTTTCCTCAACCACGTAAGAACATCGATTCTTTGTTTATTCCCTGTTTTTCTGATTTGATATCTTAGAATGCATGTGGTTAGGACTGAAATGACGTAGTTTAGGGTGTAGTTGCGGTGGTTGTTGGTGGCAGACGGTAGCACAACCATCTGTCTGTTACCGGCGCTGTAGTTGGCGTTTTTAGGAAGGGCAAGTTAGCAACCCATAGGTTTTAGTTGATCTGGGGTAGGAAAGACACGACAGTGCTATTGCCGGAGGGGCCAGGGACTCTGGCGGTTTCCCCGTGGGAGTTTTGGGTTTCGTATTCAGGGACTGTCCCTGGATGCGCTAGGGAGCAATACCGGACATTTCCCTATTTGTTTAGTTGCGCCTTTGAGTAGGGCTTAAGTCGAGGATCCTGTCCTTGGCTCTTTGCGCGCTTTGACTAGTAGTGGAAGGGTGGATTTGATTTTGTCATCGAATTCACTTTTTTCCTCTGCTTTTTAGGTAAAAGAGATGTCGCGCAGAGTTTACGAGGACGAACATTCCAGGGACTTGTTCGAGGATAGCTCTTCAGAGGACACCGAGATAGACGATGACTCCTCGTCTCCTGAGGTTGTGGGGACGTATTTCGTGAGGTCATCAGTGGATGGGTGGACGAAGGCCGAGCCAATGAAGTGTGTCTCTCTTTTTGCTTCGTACACTGGGGATGCATTTACCACAGTGGGATTGAAGGGAGAGTGGAGGGTCCATTTTCCTTCAGAACACGAACGTATTTTCTCGGCGTACAGGGAGAGATTTCTCATGTACGAGCACGTTTTTAAAGAGATAGGGATGAGGTTGCGCTTCACAGACTTTCAATGGACCGTCTTCGTACACCTCGACATGAAGTCCTCTCAACTGTACCCAAACTCTATTGCCTTCATGTGGGCGTATGAAATTGTGTGCGAGTATTTGGAGATCAGGGTCACCCTCCTACTTTTCTTCACCATCTTTCATCTTCAACGACAGGTGTCAGGGAGAAAGTTTGGTTGGATTTCCTTGAAGCAGGCGAGAAAGTTGTTCAAGCCCTTCTTCGAATCTATCCAGACGTTTAAAGAGAGATTCTATGTGATCGATTCGGTGTCAGAGAAGGCTACTGACTTGACTTTTGTATGGGAGGTCTCCATGGACGAAAACGGGGAGGTCCTGATAGACAAGAAGGGCAAAATAGTTGCCCATAGGTTGTTTACTTTCCCCTTCTGCTGGAGCGGGGCTCACTTCTCCCGCTCAACTGATGAATACATATCAGTTGGTGGATGATGATCGAGCCAGCTATGCCAAGCTGCTGGCCTTCGCGGACGGCTTCCTTCCTGCTCAGTGCGTGACTCGCGTCGGGTAGGTTCTTTACGAGGAAGATAGGGGGCTGCAGGTGGAAGTCTGGTACATTAACACCAAAGAGCTCCTCGAGTGTAGCACTCGCGAGGAGGCTCTTTAACTTTTGGGTAGGTTCTCACTTTCTTTTATTTTGCTCGAGATGTTTTCCTTTCCCCGTGCTTACGTGCTTGTAATTTTTGCAGGTAAAATGTCTTCAGCGCAGGAGAGGATAATAAAACATGCCCAAGGAAAGATGAAGGGTGGCACTGCTCTAGGGAGGAGTCACCTTGGTCAATGAACGGTTCCTCCTCAGACAGGGTCGGGGACTTCATCCTCAACTCCTTCGGCCACTCATCCACCGCCTTTACCCATGAGCTCGAGGCCCAAGCGTGCTCGCACGAATGAAATTTTGGACCTCAGCAGGGAGTCTGCTAAAAGCAACTTCAAATTACCTCATTGCCTTCATAATAGGAAATTCTTTGAGGGGTCCTCCTTGTCCATTCCTCGGGCAGAATCTTTAAAGCTTGAGGAAATGGACCGTCCGAACAAACATGCCATGCTTGCCCAAGATGCCTCTGCCTTAATGAGGGTCCTGAAGATGGCCGTGGTATATACTGAGGATGGCTATCTGCTCGAACTTGAGCTGAAGAAGTCCTAAGCTACGGTGGCGGCTCTGGAAGAGAAGTTCAAGAAGCTTCAGGAGGAGAGGGAGAAGGAGCTCAAAAATGATGTCTGCAAGGATCGCGAAGAGATGGCTTTGGAGAGGGACACCGTGGCTGCCAAGTAGAAGGCTGTCGAGGATGTGCTGGAGAAGTTGCAGATCGTAGCTGCCCCTGCTGAGGATAAGCCCGAGGAGACGAAGAAGTTGCTAACTCGGTCAGAGCTGGTCGCTTGGTTTGCTCAGGCCGCCGACAACCTAGTGGCCATCGGCGAGGAGGCTTTTCAAAACACAGTGGACCATATAAAGCTGGTGAACCGTAGGATTGAGCTGACCATGGAAGGCATAGGGTTCCTCTATACGGTCAAAAAAGGCCAGATAGTCGTCCCATATTTCCTCTGGTTCAGCGAGGGCGATGATGAGCAGGGGCAGGCGTTGCAAGAGGAGGCTCAGTAAGAGGAGCAGTGAGCTAAGTTCATGCTTTGGCCTGCGTGCCATTTAATTACTTGTATTTTATTGTAATTTTATTTTGTAGGGCTTGGCCCCCTTTTTCTTGTATCATG